TTTTGTTATTTGTCATTTAAAAGATATTTTTCAACTATTCAATTTTATGTAACGCCCTCCGCTGCTGGTCATGACAGGCATAAAGAGAATCCTGTGGAAATAGTGTCCTCCCTGGAGCCATTGCTCATGGATGGTACATTCTACCCTCATGTATGGATGGTAATGATTCCCACTGAGACTAATCTTCCTCCAAGAGCTTTGAGTACTCATCAACCCAGCCTTCAGCTAAATTTTTTACAGAGCACATTCCTGTCACCCTGGTCCCTAACTAAATTCTTGTGAGGGCATATTCCAGTCGCCCAACACACCCAGATTTTTCATGGTATGGATCCAATGGGTTAACATTAGATTAGACAACCAGTGCTTTTCTTAGAGCAAATTATTGGTATCTCAGTACAAAGGAGAATTATCATAAAAAAATTGTCTGTATTGATGATATCCAATTTGAGTATGCTTATGAAATATTTAGGTTTAGGAATTGAAATTGAGTTTTAATGTTTTATTTTTAGTGGAGATTATTTTTATAACTTAAAAGGGGTCCATGCTTGGAATGTTGAAGAATGCAGCACAACAAGGGAGTGCTAATTGTATCCAGCATAACCCATTCGTCGGGTGTCACATATATGAGATACAGGGAAAAAATAAACAGTTTCGGGCTGCCCGCCAGTGCGATGCTATCTCGGAGCCGTGCTCCGCGGCAAAAGTGGCGGGCGGCCGGGCAGGCGGACAGACTCCGGGGAAGCTCCGCCCGCCGATTTTGTAGCTTCCCGGATTTTTTAATTTTGGCTACAAAATGTACCCCGGCGCGGGTGGGTTAATATTTAGGTTTAGGAATTGAAATTGAGTTTTAATGTTTTATTTTTAGTAGAGATTATTTTTATAACTTAAAAGGGGTCCATGCTTGGAATGTTGAAGAATGCAGCACAACAAGGGAGTGCTAATTGTATCCAGCATTCCCTAGCTTGCATTTGTGTTGCATGTGTTTCTGTTTCCCTTGCTAAATGTATTTTATTTCATATGCACTTTTTTATTATTTATCTGATCCATACATTCTTTGTGAAATTTGTAACAGTGCATGTTAACCCTTTCAGCCAGATATTGGAAAACTTACCATATAGATATTGAAAAATTTCAGGCCCTCATTAAGTGAACCAGTCTAATTTTATACATGTTTATTTATGTTACCACATTATATGATTTATGTGCATTCAAAGCCTAAATCAGTGGTTTGTATCTTTTAGTTCAAACTAATTCAAATCCTGATGCCCTTTTTTATCTACAAATTTCCATGGCTGTGGGTTTAACATCATGGTATATCTCCTACCCCATTTATTTTGTGTTATATTCTTATTGTACATCACTACTTAGGGGATAGGGTTCCTATACCTGCACTGTTAGAACATACAAGAGATATCCATGGATTGAAAGAGAGAAAAGAATTATGTCAGGGTACACATTATTGTTTTATTTTGCTTTTCTTTTAACTTATGTTTGCATGACTACAGTTGGAGGAAGTGGCATTCAGACTTTCCCACTCCAGTGGAGATATGACTGAACTAAACTCTGAACTTGAGCTTGTTAAGGTGAGTCAGTTTTTTTCTTATTTATTTCTTTTTATTGATATATCTTAAATTGTTTTATCTTTAATGTGAGAAATTTCTTGTTTTATGTGTTTTAGTATGATATAGAAGACTCTCATTAAAAAAATATAAAAATAAAGAGTCTGCATTTCCAAATTAGGATGATGTTGACAGAAATACAGCCACAGGTAAAATTTAGTAGTTGGGATCAGTCAGTGTCTATCAACATAATTTTGTTTAGAAGATTTTAGATATTTTTTCATAACTCTTTTCTCATATATGGGTTTATGATATGTCTGTTTTAAATTTCAATAATGGTTTTTCTTTTGCATGCTACTTGATGGATAATTTATATATTTTTTGGCAACATTAATTTAGGCAAGCCTTGCACAAGCAACTCGGTTAGCTCTGGCAACTGAGGAACACCTTTTAATGGGCCAGGAAGAAGAGTTGTTAAGCAAAGAGCCCTCTTTATTGCCAGTCAGTACTCTTAGATTTGTATGTATGTAATTATAGCACAGTAGGATAATTATGTTGATAAACTACAATTATTTTCATTGTAGTAAGTAGAATTACATAGGAAACTAGGAAGTTGTTGCTAGTTTGTATGTAATTTCCTTTATATTCTGCAGAGTAATTACACTAGTGATAAAGAACAGCTTGAGGAAAGGATAATGCAGCTGGAGCATGAACTTGAAGAAGCCACAACAAATGGTCTGGAGATGCATAAAATGTTGTCAGAAATGCTCTCAACCCAGAGTGATGCAACAGCTTTTCAGGTATGTTATGAGGCCTTTTAAGGCATGGGGGTTCTTTCCAGTGCTGACGTTGAAACATTCTTTGAGATTTTTTTTCCTCCAAATTTTGTTTTTACAGAGATATACAGTCTAGAAGAAACATTAAGGAGTAACATTAAGGTTGGTAACAAAATGGTAATGAGGTAAAGAATTAATCTGTCCAGAAGTTTTATTTAGATGGTAATGGCAGTTGAAATTAGATGGAGAGCATAGTGAGCCATTGTAGAAAATTATTTTGATATTGATTTGCTTTGAGAAAATGTTTACAAAGCGTTTTATATTTAATTAGATAATTTTTAAAAGTTTCATATATATTGTTGATCAATAGATATTATCTATGTAATGATTGAAAAGAAGATAAATTAAATTGTACCAGAAAATTGTATTCTCAGATTATTATAAATTTTTATTCATTACTTATTTTTAACCACTGTATATTCCCTAGGCATCTGTTGACCACCTGCAGTCTATGTTAGATGGACAGCGGGAGAAAGTGGAGACTCTTACTTCTGATTTGGCTTTGAAAACTCGACTGGTAAGTTTCATTCTTGTACCTTTTTTTATTCATTGTTTTTAATTACACGAGATGAATATTCTTATTGATAAGAAATTATTTAACCTTGTGCCGACGGGTAAAAATGTTTGGCAAGTGGAGTTAAAATCTTTATTATATAAATGAAGCCACTACTCTCAGAGAAAACAAACTCTGTACGACAAGCCAATGATGATGGAATGGGGATGATACGATGCCATCTGTTTTTCGGTCCACAACAACCATGGCATCTACGTACATGCCACCTGTGGGCTAGGGGTTAATATAGAATTTCTGTGCAGTAGATCCCACATATGAATGATAAGAATTGGAGGTCAAATGTAATGTAGAAAACCATGAAGTGGAAAAGGTGACTAGAAGGTTAACTCATTAATCATCAGGAAGTGTTGTTCCTGATTCGCTAGAGTAAATAAGTAGCTGAAGATAATTATATTCTCTAGACCAGTGCAGAATAAGTAATCTGAAATAACTGGTTTTATTTAATTTTTTTATTTATTGAAAAGGAAACCTAAATCTTTATGATGAACATATTTTAAAAGTTTCCAAGTTTACTGGAAAAATCATATTTCACCTTTTTCTCACCATGTGTATTATCAGTATTAAATTTGTACCTTTCATGGTCCATAGAATGAAGAACTGCACACAGAACTTGCTGCTGCGAGAGAAAGGGCCAACAAACTGGATTACCAGGTTGAACAGGTAAGCTTAAAGAATATTTATCAAGCAAGTGCTGATTCATTCTTAGGTATTACTGTGGAAAAAATATTGTCATGTTTCTCTTATGAAATTGTAAACTTTATTCTTAGCTTCATATGATTGAAGCATGTATGGTAAACATGTTTAAAGTTGTATTTATTTAATTATTGCAAAAGTCGGAGGAAGAGGTAAAGGTGATAAACAAGAATCTTGTCCTTTATTAATTTGTCATTTGACAGTGATAGAAAAGTACTATTTCTGCTTGAAGAACATACCTTGGCAGATTTTGTAAATCGAAAAATGTATATATTATACCTTTACAAATAGAAGTATATAGGACTTTCCTTATAGAATGTGAAACTTGAAAACACCTTCACATGCATATACATGCATGGACACAAATATACTTACAAGCATACATACAGGCCAACACATGTACATGCAATATACACATGCATACTGACATTTCCATGCACCCTACATTTAGTACACACAAAGAACCCTATACACTCCCACATACATATTTTCTATGTTACAGTAATAATAGGTTTACAGCTCGTGTAAGACTTTTGAGAATTACCTTTATAGTGTATCTTACTTTTACAGTAACCATTAGATAAGGTGATACAGAAAAAGAAAAAAATATGTTGTATTTATGAAGAAGAAAATTGTCTAATTATTATGATTGTTATGAGAACCTGTGATTATGATTCTATTTTCAATCACACAGCTAACACACTCCTTGGAGGAGTTGACGGGGGCCAAGGCAGAAACAATCCAGAAGCTACAGGAAGAGGCTAATCTTGTTCAAGAATTGAAGAAAACAAATGAGATGCTAACAGAACAAACAAGCAGCTCTGACTCCAAATTGGAAACCCTGACTAAAGACCTTGAAGAACAGCGGGACACTATCTCCAAGTTGAGGGAAGCTATTGAAACAAAGGAGTCAGAATTGCAGGTATGTTTGTGTTTCTCTCTCTCTCTCTCTCTCTCTCTCTCTCTCTCTCTCTCTCTCTCTCTCTCTCTCTCTCTCCTCTCTCTCTCTCTCTCTCTCTCTCTCTCTCTCTCTCCTCTCTCTCCTCTCTCTCTCTCTCTCTCTCTCTCTCTCTCTCCTCTCTCTCTCTCTCTCTCTCTCTCTCTCTATCCCTCTCTCTCTCCTCTCTCCTCTCTCTCTCTCTCTCTCTCTCTCTCTCTCTCTCTCTCTCTCTCTCTCTCTCTCTCTCTCTCTCTCTCTCTCTCTCTCTCTCTCTCTCTCTCTCTCTATCCTCTCTCTCTCTCTCTCTATCTCTCTCTCTCTCTCTCTATCCTCTCTCTCTCTCTCTCTCTCTCTCTCTATCCTCTCTCTCTCTCTCTCTCTCTCTCTTATCCTCTCTCTCTCTCTCTCTATCCTCTCTCTCTCTCATCTCTCTCTTATCCTCTCTCTCTCTCTCTCTCTCTCT